CTACTTAATAAGCGAGATACTGACGCCGGTGAGCTCATCAGTCAGATATATTCCGGGTAACACGATAAGATCCAATAATTGTGAGACCTGACAAAGACGTGGCCTAACAAGCTAACTGAGAAAGCTCCGTGCTCTAGAACACAAGAAACCAAACGCCACCGATTCTAACAGTGCAGCGAAGGTCATCGACGGTGAACAAGAGCCAACAATGACCCGAGTATTCCTCAGTACCAAGAGTGTATTCGATTCGGTAGAGCGCTACATTTTGCTCGAGGCACTTGCCCAGTAAGCCGTTCCCATATAATAAACGAACATTCAAGCACTATGAAGCCAAACAACATTGGTCGCGTCAGGATTTGCGGCAACCTGTCAGATGTCTTTATGATATCGGTGTCGTTCCCCATTTTTTATTGAACGCGTTGCACCAATGTGCAGCGTCATCAGTGAAAACCTCAAGACCATCAAATGAGGAAAAGTAAAATGTGTTGCAAGATGTGGACAATAGCAGCATGCTGTTGAACAACCGTCGGGTAGGGTAGGTAATCACAATGATGCCATCCATTGGCATGCAATGTGCATCAACGCAGAGCGTTGCAGATGAGCTACTGGCCATGGTGAGGAGTTTGAGATGGCTTATCATTTTACCTGTCTTGTGTGGCTACAGTGTTAGTGCAGCTGAATTTAGGCCGCGTCTTGCACAAGGCAAAACTAGGTTGATTATTCTGTGACATTGTTGGAGCAATAGTGTTCACTTGATCTTATAGACCGTGCGTACATAGGAGCCAAAATGAAAGCCGTGCACACATAAAGCAGTGAAACTTGTCTGTTTCCGTCAGAAGACCCCAAGCATCTTCAGGCTTGCGATCAGTGCCATGGGGTGAATAACCATCGTGTCGAGTGGGACCCGCGTGTCCGCAAAGATGATGTTCGCAGGCGGTGATAGTCAGTTTAGTTCTTTAGAGTAACCGATAAGACTGAACAAGTTGTGTAAGTTTTCATAGGTGTTGTGAAAGACTGCCTACTACCTACGGAGGAAGGTTTTACTAATGAGTAGCGAGGAGTTTGGTACATCTCAGCTAATTCATCATGAACTATATCATAGTAAACTGTCAACCACGCAGGTCATCGGCTGTCACCCAAGGCGAAGTGGCACTAGCTGCTGGCATCCGGAGGTCATGGGGGCGGAATCCGGCAGGGGTCCGCTGGAAGGCGCACCACTGACGAGACCTAGAAAGTCGAAACGCCGGCGTCTGGTGCTTTTCCAGACTAGCCTAAGCCTGCTGACTGAGTGACGATGAATGAATTAGCTGAAAAGAGGAAGGGTTTTTTTGTTGCCAAGTACATTAAAATTGTGAAGAGTTTGAGTGAAGCAACATTTGTCTGGTCAGCGGGAAATAAAGTCGTTGGCAAATCAGAATGGATGCTGTTAATCCGCCTCACCTTCCAGACTCGCATTATGCTTAGCTCGATACATCACAAGGTAGTTGACATCTAGCACCAGGGAGTTTCACAGTCGTATCTCACCTAAATTGACCGTCCAAACTGTGGATGCCGCTGAGTTGCTTGTGGTGGTAGTAAAAGCAGCGAAAATGTTTCACCGACACCGATGCCCAGCTGTTTGCGATCTTGTGTTCCTGATAAGGTGTTGGCGCCATGATCCTGAATACTTGTCTGAGACATTCACAGTCGATTTCTGATCCCCTTGTCTTCTGTTTTATCACTGGATCCCACAACCCTACTGTGGCTACCCACAACCCTACTGTGGCTACAAATGAGTTTATAAACAACATCGCCTTTGTTGTGGATCTACTAGCACCTACTGTAAGGAGAAATACCCATGAACATAGGGGTGAACTCAAGCTTCTGTCCAAAGCCAAAATAAAACTAAAGAAACTCAAATTGCTATACAGCAGGAACAACAGCTTAGCAACATTGCTACAAATCCACGAGAACTTACTATATTTACAACGTCTAACCCTAACAATCAAAACCAAAGAAGAAAGCCGGGTACTCAGAAATCCTGAGAAAGTACGTGCATTGATGCAACTACTCAAAAGAAGAAACCCTAAACCACTTCAGGAAATTGAAACGTTGGTTCTAGACGATGGGTCAATAACGCGCGATATCTCCTGTATATGCGAGGCCATGAACTCTAGTTTTGCCTCCTCTTTTGTCCCCAACATTCAGCCACTTCATCCTCCACTTCCAAAAAGAACGACCGAACCATACTGCAATATCCCTGTGACCCTAAGAGAGGTGCAAAGTGCCATCGCAGCCATAAAACCATCAACTCATCCAGGTCCAGATGGCATCTCCCCAACTGTTATAAAACTCGGAGGAAAAAACCTCGCACTATTGTTACTAAACATTTTCACACTTTCGCTCACTACCGGTTGCTTTCCAGCTCAATGGAAGCAATCCATTATAATGCCTAAGCACAAGGGTGGACGGAGAAATCAAATGTCAAGCTACCGCCCAATAAATCACACCTCTGCTGCTTCCAAAGCCCTAGAGCGAATAGTCAAGAAGAACATCGTCCAATATCTAACAAGACTGGATCTGATCAACCCTTCACAGCACGGCTTTCTCTCAAGACGCTCCTGCGTTACATGCCAGCTACAATTTCTCGATCACATCACGACTATGATTGACAGAGGAATGGCAATTATCATAATTCTGTTGGACATGCAAAAGGCTTTCGACCGCGTGCCACACCAGCCACTGCTGTCTGCTCTAGAGTCATATGGAATTGGAAATCCGCTGCTTAACTGGTTCGACTCATACCTAAACGATCGAACTCAGGTCGTTAAAATCGGTCAGCAACATTCTACACCGAAGCCAATAACCAGCGGTGTCTTCCAGGGAAGTGTGCTCGGACCGCTACTTTTCTTAATCTATGTAAACAATATATGTGACCCAATCAAACATGGACATCCATTTCTGTTTGCAGATGATGTCAAACTGGTTTACTCATTTCATCCGGACCAACTACATATGTGTTTGAGAAACATCTGTGAAGACCTATCCGCACTAACTATAGCTAGTGAGCGCTTATTAATGAAGTTCTACGCAGTGAAATCCCAAGTACTTGGGTACAGATGCCGCATCCCAGAAGGCTCCATTATACTTGCCGGAAACGTGATCCCAACGTCTGAGTCAGTTCGGGACTTAGGAATTAGGTACTCCAACTCTTTCAATTTCTCCGAACATGTTCTTTATCAGGTTGCGAAAGCGAGGCAGCTATGCGGATATATCACCAGAACTTTCTCCCTACCTGAAGTACGACTTGAATCATTCAAGACAATCGTACGACCGACTCTGGAGTATTGTACTATCCTTCACAGCCAATTGAGAAAGAAAGACAGAACGGCTCTAGAAAATGTCCAACGATCATTTACCAAACTGCTCATGGGACGCTGCTCAAACCTGACTTATTATGATCGCTGTCGAAAACTGCAGCTGGATCCACTTTGGCTGAGACGCTTAAAGAACAACCTCGTTCTCTTCTACAACATTATAAACAAACGAATTTACGCAGACAGCACCGCACTTGAACTGCGGAAGACTGCAGTCTACCCCACACGTAATGGCGGCTACTTGATACGTACAAACCTTTCAAGTCATAAAATTCGATCGAATTTCTTCTTAGTGAGATACACTTATTTGTGGAACAAACTACCCCTACAGATACGCATGTGTACAAGCCATGTCACCTTTCGAAATCTCCTTCAGACCTTCCTCACTATACCAAATGCTCTGAAAATATTTGACTCACAGCAAACACTAGAAACACTGACAGAAGTTGGTATAAAAAACATTTGATAATAGCTTACAGCTAGCTTACCCACTACATATCATTACATACCATACCAAATCCTGTGTCTTTGCAGCCTAATAGTCCCTTCGTTTATTATCTACTCCTAACGATACAAACATCCGTAAATTTTACATATGAGTTGCACGGGTCTAGGACTCAAGGAAAAGTAAACATGATCCGAAAAGCTATTAGTAAACTTTTATTTAATGTTATGAAACGTGTTCACTATACACATGATCGCTCCCACTTATGGGGCCGTGTACCGTCCGTCGGTAAATATACAAATTTATTTATTTATTTATTTATTTATTTATTTATTTATGTGTGAGTATCAGTAAAGTGCCTGTAGGAATTACCGTCATCAGTGATGACACGGTAATGACTAGGTGCATTCCAAAGCGTGCAGCAGAAATTCAGACAAGTAGTCTATTCAGAAGTGTTTCAACTATCTATGGCGTGAATACTAGGAATAATTATTCCACGGTGACAGCCTATCGAATACATGTATTCAGTACATTCCATGTTATCAAACTTGGTGATTATCATTGCTGTTATTGATCTATCAGCAGAATTTTTCATACTAATCTATAGATAACTAGCCGCCCCCAATCTGACCTTGTATTCGTTTGGGTAACCAATGGCTCTTCACTCCTATCGCACTCCGTAGATGCTAGCTGTATTGTGGTTTGTGAGGAACAACGGTTGAAACAGTAGGGTTAGACAAACCGTTTGATTGCATTGGATGAGGGAGCAATTGTCAGCAACCATATACCCTAGGGTATGAGTACCATGGAAAGCAGCGGTCTTGGTAGAGCTCCAGAGTATATGTTTCGAAATGAACTACAAGCACTAGCAAAAAAGGACAGTGAAAAGTGAATGCTGTTTGATACGCCGAGGTTGGCAAGTTGACAGCTAATGTACCTCAGGTAATCTAGAGAGTACTTGGGAAAGCCCAATGAAGTGCAGCAGATTCGGTAACCAGCGCTCATAAAGAGATTCGGCGTCAGTGGAAAGTAGAAATGAAAGTCTAGCGAAAATGAACAAGGAGGAAAACGTCCGAACCATGGAGAGATACAACTGAATACACCTAAGTTGCAGAGGGCCAGCACAGAGAGATGCCCTCAAATAGCAATGAAATGCCTGCGATAAAAACACTACGAGAATGTCATAAAACGTGACTTACTCCAGATAGAGTAACTCGCTCACCATCCCATAGTAGCAACACAATTCTGAGGCCAAATGAGCACCAAGCTCTACACCAGCTCGCCACGCGTTGTGAAGTAGGTGCTTATCCTCATCGGTATCCTGGTCTTCGCAAGAATGTGATGGAGAATGCAGTGCTTTCTGAAACGCTTCGTTATAAGTGGTTTTATAAATGCGTTCTTCGTGGACAGCTAGTGCATCTAAGAAATCTTCCTCCATGGCTGAAGTTCTAAAGAATAGTGGAAAAGTTAACTATGGTAACGAATAGAATTTCCGTTTAACGAAAATGTCGTGGCTAGGTTAAAGGGTAGTATCGAGAGGCATACAGGGTAAAAAGGACCGGAAATACACGTTATCTGCATTGGGCATACAGAAAGTTAAGCACGAACAAAAAGTATGTAAGGCAAAAAGAAGTGACTGAAGTCCAGCAAACTCGACCTAGGGACACACAGATGGAAATGTTGGAGATATATAACGACAGCAATACATGCTTCGGATTTTGGTGTGCCAACAGCATGTTCGGACTGTAGCGAGCGATTTCGAATTTGGTGACGATTTAATTCGTGACCTCGGTCGTTGCGAGCATTGGGAGTACAAATCAGATGGATTGATTCTTCCTTATTGCTCGCTCTCTACGTTGCAGTCCACGATCGCTTTTGTTCTTGGTCGGGATTTCCGGGCAGTGAAAGCCGAAATGAGACAAAATTAAGGATGCAAAGATCGCAGGTAAGAACCTTTAGCATTGCAACTAAGTCATAGGGTAATGATTGTCGCAAGTACTATGAAGTAACAGTTACATTATTTAGAAGATCCGTTGTGCGAAGCGGTTGTGACTGGTCTCGGCTGAATCGATTCCCTATAATTCCGAACGTGGAGTTCCGTGTTGAAAGCGAGCATCATAGAAAGTGTGTGCTTTAGACCACATCATTAAGAATTTGCTTGCTCCGCGATCCAGTTACAGCAACAGCGGAAATATTGCACCCCCTCGTATGAAACATGGAGATAAAAATGAGACTGAGTTTCTAGACAGTTACGGATTGGTATAGGTAACAATCGCGTAGTCGAAAATTAGGGCAAAGCAAATCGCCGTTGTTGAAATTGGGTCGTCGTTCGAGTAGACTGATTGGTACGCAAATTCTTCGTCAGTATATTGAGTAACACATTACCTAGCCTGGTGGAAAAGATTGGCGAACCGATTCGACCATCCAGTTCGGAGGACAACCAAATACTGCTGCTGCAAATGTGTCGCGGGAAGGTCATCAAGTCAAATGAAATGGTTGTGGTGAATCATCTATAGGTACCCAGTTATCCAAGCAATTGACGGACTGCAGTTGTGTGGTTAATGTATTCTACTTTGTGGTGCATGCCAAGCATGTTCCAAATGAGTTGACTCGCATAGAATGCAGTGAGCTGGCACAGTTTAAAGTTCGTGAGTAGTTTCGAAGAATGCCAATAAGGTTAAAGCCAATACGATCTTCTTATAATCGTTCCCTGACTTTCGTTAAAAAGGAGATAATAGTTGGCAGGTTGCAGTTTAAACACTACTTCAGTGACCCACATAATGTCGCATAGAGCGACTGGACCAGGTATCCGTAAGTTTCCCCTGCCTTTCAATAATGACAAAGGAATTTTGTCAGATCCAGACAACTTGGTTCATTTCAACAAGGTGAGTTCACGTCGAGTCACCTCCCAAGTAGGGGGTGCAGTGTCAACATCCAACGCGAGTTTAAGTGATACAATAAATGAAGACGTTACAGCAATCCTGTTGCACTACACAAGAAAAGGTTAAGCCAAGGGTTCCGATCTACATGTACAAGCTTAGATCAACCGTACCTCTTTCTAGCCTTGCCTTGCTAACTGAAAGCCTGCACGGACCCACGTTCCAGACAAGCTGAATTGACACTTAGATGTTCCAAGTAGCACGATCTTTTGCAACTGCAGACTTCGCAAACCACAAAAGATTTCGGTCAATTCCAAGACTCCTAGGCAGTTGTTTCATTGTGCCAGAGAACCAACTTATGTGCTTAAAATGAACTGGCCGAAGCGTCAGAACATCGCTCCCAGTTCGAACGTCCGGAGTTAGACGAACAAGCGCATTTCGAAGGCTTCATCCCGATGTAAGTTGTCATTCGGTTAAATCAGTTCGTTTGTCAGTAAAGACTAACGAGCTAGTGCATCTTGGTGTATGGCGGAATTGGAACCTACGTGATGTGGGAAAAGCCTCGAAGTAGCGCTCATCGTTGAGAATGAGAGTAAACGTCATGTGAATGCGACCCAAAGCATGATAACAATCCAACAATGGACTCCAGTTACAAACGAGTTTGTCCTGGGTTGAGTCACCTGCAGGCAGTCGCAATGTGGCTAACACTAGAGTGTACCACTTTGTAACGACGCGAACTGAAAGGAGAGGTCACGAATACACATACACTGCCGAAGTACGCTCTGCGTATAAAAACGAGGTCCGTTCGACCATATTGCATCGCCTGAGTGATGGCTGCGTTAAACAAGTAGTATCTGCGTCTTATGGATGCCAGGGGTAACTGTCCTGTCGCCCCAGCAGCTATCTACTAGGAACGTGTGTATAACCGGCAAGGAGAAAACAAGGTCAAGCCATCAAAAGTAGATGTGATTCGGAGTTTGGTGTCGCTGCACGCAAGAGCAGAGGAGTGACGCATACCATAATACGTATCTTTACACCGAAGTATCGCAAATCATGCCACATGCAAAAGCAGTCGACATGTTATCGTAGTTTAGGTCACAGTAAATAAGTGCCTCGGTAATATCCTGACTGCCAAACTCACACAGCGAATGAGAGAGGAAAATGAACGTTTACCAACGACAGAAGTTTCCAGAAGCAGATCTGAAAACGAGAGACTGGGATACATGAAAGATGCACTGTAAAACAAGATCCGGAGCACTAAAAGTGTATTACGGGATATTGTGTCTAACTTTCGCTTCAGAGGGTGAATAATGCTCTGAAAGAGCTAAGTACAAACAGCGCAAATTCCCAAAGCAGGTAGTAGATCCACTGACATATAGCAGTCGTGTTAAGCCCGAAAAATCACGAAAGTTATATGCGTGGAAGGGTGATCGCATAGTCGTCCCATGGATTGGAAACGAAACGGGTAACATATGAAGCAACCATGCATCAGCTACGGTCCTCGTGATCGAAAAACCAAAGTTCACTGCAATGGGAATCGCGGTCAACATTAAGGTTGCGTGTCGCTATCCATCCACACGACCTGTACTTCAAAATGACCCTCAACATCAACCAAGGGTTATTATGTTTCGAGTCATTGAGAACTACTTTCGTATAAGCCGGTCATGCACATGACGCAAAGGAGGCCGAACTAACTGCAAGTAATGCAGTGCCATCGACGTTAATACCGGTTTAGTCATCTCGGCTTACGTCTAACTGAGGGGATTCCTGCGCAAGGTCCGTCGGACTCGTTCAGCAGCATACGGATGTTTCAGCTTCTATATGAGTCATGGGGCGACAGACTTAGGCAGCTGGGTGCGAAAAGTTAAAAAGAATCACGTTTTTTCGTATCCTCTTATTGTTGGTTCTTTTTCCCAAGTGTTATATATATGTATATTTATTTATTTATTATTTATAAACTCGATGTAGACTTCATATGAATATGCTAGAACGCAATAGAGTAACAAACGCAGTATCACCAACTTGAAGGTCGATTACTGCGTAGTTTTACTCCGGTACTCCAGTCTTACGGCAAATACCGAATTCCGAGCAAAGACCAACGTGAAGCCTCTCATGAACTACCAAACCCTTGCTCCAAAAGCGCTTGCTAACTAAGGGTAGGAAAAATAAGAAACAGAGTGCACTGGTAAGTGAGCAAACAATGAGTGAGCAAGCGCTGTCACAGTGAGGCTGAACGTTAATGTGGCGTCACATTTGTGTACCTTTCCGATTCATCGAACTGCTCTGGAATAGGCATTGGGATGCCTTGAAAGCCACTCCAGTCAGATTGATCAGTGGTTAGAATTCATGTTAGCTTATTCTCTTGGAGCTCAGGATTGCGCGCTGGAACTGGAGCGAGGTATCCGTTTAGGTGACAACGATGCACATTGAGAGCCAAAGACTTACGGTTTAGATTGTGAGGAACACTTCGATTGGGACCTTAATAGTTCTTTTGTCCAGGTTTTGGCGCATCGGCTACATCACATCCAAAATACAACCTGTAACTTATCCAACAACCTCAATTGCATCCTTCATCAGCACTCGTGAGGAGTCAAAAAGAGCACTTGAGTAGAAGCACGCAGAAATATGGTCAAATGAAAACTAGCCAACACCGATTTCTTTTATTTTCCATCTATTTCTCTTACAACTTCCAGTTCCGTAACTCTTTCTCCCCGTAGTTCTCAGCGTGTTGGCAGATGCTATTCTACCGGAGTGTAGGCGTTTGAACACGAATAACCGCAATCTCTAAATTCCCATCGAAGGAAAGTTGAATAGGTCACATGCGACTCAAGTATCTGACAAGCGAGGCAACAGAAGCAAATCCGGTCCAGAGGTGGCTAGTGTTTGGTGAACAAGTGTGAAAGGCTTGTCGCACAGTGTGATCCACTTCAGAACAGTTGCCGCGGGAAATACGGTGGCATCAAGTGGATCCACAAAAAGTCACTTTTTGTTGATTCAAACTGATTGGAGCTGCAAGCATTGTAGGTGTATAAGACGCAAGGGGTCTAGTATAAAATCAAAATACTGCAACAAGTGATGATTCAAGGCACTGCACTAAACAGTCTCAAAGATTTGACTGACCCTGCAGGCTGGGTGGTCCAGTGAGCTGTGACATCAACCTTATTCCACGAATAAATTAATAAACATTTTATTCTCGAATCCAGTAAGACATCGTACGCAGTTGGAACGGAAGATTCAAATACGCGACGACAGTAAACACATCATTGGAGCCGGTTGCGAGCCGTATTAAGAGAAAAATACTGCGTCGCGTGGACCTCATGATGGATCAAGAGCACCTAGTTCAGGCCTAGGTGTCTACCATTCCCTCTGATAAGTCCAAACTTGTTCTCATTGTATTGCACCGGATCTACGTGACAACGGTGAGTCTTCGTATCGATGGCAACGGGCTACTTCACCAGAGTCAAGTTAGAGAAGGTGAGCGACAGACAGGCCCTGGAAAAATGAGCAAAATCCACGTCCGTGCTCATAGTTATCGTGTTGCGATTCTCCAGTAACACGAGGTATGGG